GGAAAGAGATGGGAAGAGGCTCACCACATGCTATATTGTGATGTTATAATACAACATAACATTTGAGAGCCTGGACTACATGGCTTTAAACTGCTTGGGTTTGAATCCTAACTCTGCCACTCACTAGCTAAGGGATGCTGAGCAAGTTACTTAACCTCTCTTGCCTCAGTTTCTTCATCAGAACAGTAATTACTTTGTGGGGTTGTCTTGAGATAATCCTTCAACTAGATAATCCATATGATATTTAAATTTATCCATATATTTTATCAATTTCTGTGTTGACCATCGTTTCTTAGATCCCACACCTTCCCCCTGGTATTCTTTCCCGTCCCTGAAATATATCCTTTAATAATTCAACTATCTTGGATTTTGTAGCTCTGAAAATATTTTCCCCAGTTTTGCTCCCAAACTTCTGGTTTAGCTGTACATAAAATTCTAGGTTGATAATTATTCTCCCCAGCTTTCCAAATATTATCCCACTGTCTTCTGGACTTGATGCCATTGAAAAGTTTGCTGTTGGTTTAACAGTTGTTACTTTGCAAATAATGTACCTTTCTCACTGGTAGAATACATGCATCTAAGGACACTACTGATAAAAGTAAACATTTAGTTCTAGAGTTATCACTCCACATAAGATTTCTAATTCCATGGATTCGGGGGGGAAGATCATAGTATAAACATCCCCTCATCCTTTACAAAGGAGCAGGGCAGGAACCAAAGGCCACTGTGACTACAAGGAAGCTCTGCAAGATTAACCACAAATAACCATAACCTTGCCTCCAGGGGAGGACTGAGTGCCTTCCCAAGAATCCAACAGATTGCACTAGGGTATGAAGGAAACTGCTGAGGACCCTCATTTTTATACTCCCGTGAGTTATTATCTTCCTTTTCTCTCATGCTTTGGAATTCCTGTAACAGGGCAACTCTGTATTTTGAGCATATGAAGCAAGTATGATAAAATATTACACTTAAACATTGCCCCAGGGTAGGGGGGACGGGCGAGAAAAAACAAAAACAAAAACAGCATTGCCCCTTCCTCGCCAATGTTTACCCTTATGTTCAGATTACTAAAAATATGCATCTAGAAATATGGCAAAACAAAACACGTCTCTCCTTGTAGATGAAATAGCTAAAATTTTGGCCTCTTTTATTGATCTCAGGTCATATATTTGGGTTGAAAAAAACACACAACAAATAGTTCCAAGTAAGAGTTACATAAACTAAATTTTTCTTCCAGATCTCTAAATGCTCATAGAGAGCCAACTTCCATTGTACATGGCACACAGCACATACTTGAAAGGCGATCCCACAGAAATATTTGTGTAAGCAAAATAAGAATTCGTTTCTCATTACATAAACATCACCTGTGCTTATCTAATCAAAACACTTGTTTAAAAAAAAATAATCTGTGACCAAAAGCACTATCATGTTTGTTGAGTGCCATTCTCATTCGAATCATATCCAAAAAAACCTAGAAATAACTCAAAATTAGAAAGTGGCCCAAGTGCTAAGGCTGCCTATGGCTCTTGCTACAAAATAGTTGCCAGTCTGATTTGAGTGTCTAAAAAGAATGACAGGAATTATAGGGTTCTTCTTAAATTCAAGAGAACTTCCCAGAAGGAGGTGGAGGGCCAAGAAATCCACCTGCCTGCTTGGTGGCGGCTCGTGAAGGGGCAAGACCAAGAATCTTCTGGATGTTCTGTGAAGGAAACAGAATAAAAATTGGGTTTTAATGAGATATAGAGAAAAGTATTTAACATAGATCTCATATAAAGAGAAACCTTACAAATAAAAAGTACTAATATGACCTAAAACAGAATGATTACTACTTATTTTTTAAAAGGCCTACAATGTTATAGAGATCACAGAACAGTAAAAGGCCTCTTCCCTCATGGGATCTTGGTCTACTAACCAAAGAAGCTGATTTTTTCAACTGGAGAATCATAAAAAGAGGTAATCTTTTATTTCAACACAAAGTACATTCATTAGCTATTTCGTGTAGGAAGGCTTTTTCTCTGAGTATGGGGTTTATAGCTGGATTTAGTCATTATTGCACCGTCTGAAGCTGAAACTGAAATATTCAGTATCAGCTGAAACTGAAATATTCGGTATCAATGTCTTCAAAGAAGCGAGAGAATTCAGAATTTTGCAAAGTAATCTAAGTTCAGAATCCTCCTAGGTTTCTACACAACTGCTCATCTTTTCAGCTGTCTCATTTAATCTAATTCAGTAGTTTTTTTTTTTCTTAGAAACTCAACTTTATGAAACTAGTTCTCATAGAAAAGACTATTTTATACTCAGATTTCATTGGTTAATATAATATTAAATTAAATAACATAAATGCAACAATGAGTAAAACTAGCATAAACAGTTTAGGGATAAACACAATTGGCTCTTGAAAGGCAATGACTCAACTGGTGGGAGCAGACAGGTGGAGGAGTTCTAAAGAGCAATCAGGAGTGGACAGTGAGATGTGGGGATAAGGCAGTTTGCTTTAAAGAGGGAGGGAAGGGGTTCATGAATGTGGAGAGGGTAAATAAGGTCAGTTAAGATATTGTACAGCACCTGTAAGTGGGAAAACCTTAAAGATCGTCTAATTATTTTTGCTCAAGTCTTTCATTTTATATTTGAGAAATTCCAATTAAAACTTGGAAGAGTAGGATGGCCTGTCCAAAATTACAAAGTTAAAAGAAGAACAGAGTTAGAAATAAAACCCATGTTTTTGGATTCTTAATCTAACGGGTTCTCTTACACAGTACCTCCTCTATTAAAGTTCTGTTCTTCAGAACAAACTCTAACCCAGGGTAGGCAGGTTAGCTTGTATGCATTCACTCGTTCAACAGTTACTGGGTACCTAATGTGCATAAGGCACTATGAGAATATCTATATCTAGGCTCCTCTGAAGTATACACTCCCCAATACTTTATCACTAAGAATAATTGCTACTGAGAGGGCAGACAGCAGAAGCAAGAAGAACTACAGTTCTGCAGCCTGTGGAAGGAAAACCACATTCACAGAAAAACAGACAAAATGAAAAGGCAGAGGACTTTGTACCAGATGAAGGAACAAGATAAAACCACAGAAAAACAACTAAATGAAGTGGAGATAGGCAACCTTCCAGAAAAAGAACTCAGAATAATGATAGTGAAGATGATCCAGGACCTCGGAAAAAGAATGGAGGCAAAGATCGAGAAGATGCAAGAAATGTTTAACAAAGACCTAGAAGAATTAAAGAAAACACCTAGAAGAATTAAAGAACAAACAAACAGAGATGAACAATAAATAACTGAAATGAAAAATACACTAGAAGGAATCAATAGAAGAATAACTGAGGCAGAAAAATGGATAAGTGACCTGGAAGACAGAATGGTGGAATTCACTTCCACAAACAGAATAAAGAAAAAAAAAATGGAAAGAAATGAAGACAGCCTAAGAGACCTCTGGGACAACATTAAACGCAACATGTGCATTATAGGGGTCCCAGAAGGAGAAGAGAGAGAAAGGACCCGAGAAAATATCTGAAGAGATATAGTCAAAAACTTCCCTAACATGGGAAAGGAAATAGCCACCCAAGTCCAGGAAGTGCAAAGAGCCCCAGGCAGGATAAACCCAAGGAGAAACATGCTGAGACACATAGTAATCATATTGACAAAAATTAAAGACAAAGAAAAATTACTGAAAGCAACAAGGGAAAAACAACAAATAACATACAAGGGAACTACCAAAAGGTTAACAGCTGATTTCTCAGCAGAAACTCTACAAGCCAGAAGGGACTGGCATGATATATTTAAAGTGATGAAAGGGAAGAACCTACAGCCAAGATTACTCTACCCAGCAAGGATCTCATTCAGATTCTACGGAGAAATCAAAACCTTTGCAGGCAAGGAAAAGCTAAGAGAATTCAGCAACACGAAACCAACCCTACAACAAATGTTAAAGGAACTTCTTTAGGTGGGAAACACAAGAGAAGAAAAGGACCTACAAAAACAAACCCATAACAATTAAGAAAATGGTAGTAGGAACATACATATCAATAATTACCTTAAACGTGAATGGATTAAATGCTCCAACCAAAAGACACAGGCTCGCTGAATGGATACAAAAACAAGACCCATATATATGCTGTCTACAACAGACCCACTTCAGACCTAGGGACACATACAGACTGAAAGTGAGGGGATGGAAAAAGATATTCCATGCAAATGGAAATCAAAAGAAAGCTGGAGTAGCAATACTCATATCAGATAAAATAGACTTTAAAATAAAGAATGCTACAAGAGACAAAGAAGGACACAACATAATGAGCAAGGGATCAATCCAAGAAGATATAACAATTATAAATATATATGCACCCAACATAGGAGCACCTCAATACATAAGGCAACTGCTAACAGCTATAAAAGAGGAAATCGACAGTAACACAATAATAGTGGGGGACTTTAACACCTCACTTCCACCAAGGGACAGATCATCCAGACAGAAAATTAATAAGGAAACACAAGCTTTAAATGACACATAGACCAGATAGATTTAATTGATATTTATAAGACATTCCATCCAGAAACAGCAGATTACACTTCTCAAGGGCACATGGAACAGTTCTTCTCCAGGAGAGATCACAACTTGGGTCACAAATCAAGACTCAGTAAATTTAAGAAAACTGAAATCACATCAAGCATCTTTTCTGACCACAGTACTATGAGACTAGAAATCAATTACAGGGAAAAAACCATAAAAAACACAAACACAGGGAGGCTAAACAATACGTTACTAAATAACCAAACGATCACTGAGGAAATCAAAGAGGAAATCAAAAAACACCTAGAAACAAATGACAATGAAAACACAACGATCCAAAACCTATGGGATGCAGCAAAAGCAGTTCTAAGAGGGAAGTTTATAGCAATACAAGCCTTCCTCAAGAAACAAGAAAAATCTCAAATAAACAATCTAACCTTACACCTAAAGGAACTAGAGAAAGAAGAACAAACAAAACCCAAAGTTAGTAGAAGGAAAGAATTCATAAAGATGAGAGCAGAAATAAATGAAATAGAAACAAAGAAAACAATAGCAAAGATCAATAAAACTAAAAGCTGGTTCTTTGAGAAGATAAACAAAATTGATAAACCTTTAGCCAGACTCATCAAGAAAAAGAGGGAGAGGACTCAAATCAATAAAATGAGAAATGAAAAAGGAGAAGTTACAACGGACACCACAGAAATACAAAGCATCATGAGAGACTACTACAAGCAACTCTATGCCAATAAAATGGACAACCTGGAAGAAATGGAGAAATTCTTAGAAAGGTATAACCTTCCAAGACTGAACCAAGAAAAAATAGAAAATATGAAGAGACCAATCATAAGTAAAGAAATTGAAACTGTGATTCAAAATCTTCCAACAAACAAAAGTCCAGGACCACATGGCTTCACAGATGAATTCTATCAAACATTCAGAGAAGAGCTAACACCTATCCTTCTCAAACTCTTCCAAAATATTGCAGAGGAAGGAACACTCCCAAACTCATTCTATGAGTCCACCATCACCCTGATACCAAAACCAGACAAAGATACTACAAAAAAAGAAAATTACAGACCAATATGACTGATGAATATAGATGCAAAAATCCTCAACAAAATACTAGCAAACAGAATCCAACAACACATTAAAAGGGTCATACACCATGATCAAGTGGGATTTATCCCAGGGATGGAAGGATTCTTCAATATATGCAAATCAATCAATGTGATACACATTAACAAACTGAAGAATAAAAACTATGTGATCATCTCAATAGATGCAGAAAGGCTTTTGACAAAATTCAACACCCATTTATGATAAAAATTCTCCAGAAAGTGGGCATAGAGGGAACCTACCTCAACATAATAAAGGCCATATAGGACAAACCGAAGGATATACAATGGAGAAAGATAGTCTCTTCAATAAGTGGTGCTGGGAAACCTGGACAGCTACATGGAAAAGAATGAAATTAGAACACTCCCTAACACCATACACAAAAATAAACTCAAAATGGATTAGAGACCTAAATGTAAGACTGGACACTATAAAACTCTCAGAGGAAAATATAGGAAGAACACTCTTTGACATAAATCACAGCAAGATCTTTTTTGATACACCTCCTAGGGTAATGGAAATAAAAACAAAAATAAACAAATGAGACCTAATGAAACTTCAAAACTTTTGCACAGCAAAGGAAACTACAAACAAGATGGAAAGACAACTCTCAGGATGGGAGAAAATATTTGCAAACAAAGCAACGGACAACGGATTAATCTCCAAAATATATAAACAGCTCATGCAGCTCAATATTAAAAAAACAAACAACCCAATCAAAAAATGGGCAAAAGACCTAAATAGACATTTCTCCAAAGAAGACATGCAGATGGCCAAGAAGCACATGAAAAGCTGCTCAACATCACTAATTATTAGAGAAATGCAAATCAAAACTACAATGAGGTATCACCTCACACCAGTTAAAATGGGCATCATCAGAAAATCTACAAACAACAAATGCTGGAGAGGGTGTGGAGAAAAGGGAACCCTCTTGCACTGTTGGTGGGAATGTAAATCAATATAGTCACTATGGAGAACAGTATGGAGGTTCCTTAAAAAACTGAAAGTAGAACTACCATAGGACCCAGCAATCCCACTACTAGGCATATACCCCGAGGAAACCAT